CGCCTCTGTTTTGTTGTCTTTGTCCTTGTCCCCCCCCCCTGCGCCGTGTGCTGTTGCTCGCTTTAATTTACCCCTCAGCCCTCACCTCCGCTCTTGTCTTTTTTTTCTTCTTTTCTTTTCTTGTTGTTGTTGCTTTTTCTTACAGCCGGGACGTCGGCGCCACCACCCCGCCCACTTCCCCTGAGAACCCGCCCAACACAATACAACCGTGAAGAAAACAAAAGTGACAAAAACATAAATCCAAAACGCCCACAAGCGAAGGAGAAGGTGGAAAGAAAACACGCATACACAAACAAACACATTGTTGCATTAACGCCTCTCGTTCACACGCACCCGCAGTTCTGTCGCACTTTTCCCTCCATCTACCTGCTTCCTCGCACACAGCCGCACCGTAGATCGCACACGCCATGCACGTGCGAAGCACGGTAAGAAGCAGCAGCGGGGAGACGGCGCACAAATGCCAAAAGAACGAAAGTGAAAACGAAAAAAAAAAAGGGAGGGGAGAAAAAGAAAAAGCAAGGTCAAATCGCAGAGACGAGACGTGGAGGGAGTGTGTGCGTGTAGTAATAATATAAATTTTAGTGGGGGCGGGGTCCCGCATTTGCACCTCAAAGCCTCAACAGTAAGTTTCCCTCACGCCCGTGTTAATAGCGAGCCGCCCCTGCACCTCCTTCATCCGATCGTTAGCCTTGCGCAGGCACTCCATGTCAACCGGAGAGTCTCGACATGGAAAGGAGTCCAGCACACACACCGCAAGATCCCAGAAATAAAACAATGTGGCGAGATCGTGTCGCAGGTAGCTGCAGTCAGGGAAAACCTGCTCAATGTCGCTCAGCGTACATCTCTCCTTCGTCAGGATATACTCAATCAAGACACCACCGCCGAACTCTACAGGAGTAGAAAAGGGTAACGCTTGCTGGATGGCGCAAATTCTATTCAATGGCACCAGCGTCCTCGCTTGATAAAAGATCATCGCCAGCATAACCTCGAGAAGTTGACGAATCGATCGAGATATCATACGTGAAATCATGCTGAAGGCAGCTAGTTCAGGGTCAATTGGACCAGTCCAGGCAGATGAGACATTTAGTGGAATAATAGATAGAATGCGGCTGGCAAGGACAACTTCCCGAGGAAGATCCCGCGGAGGAATCTCGTCGGATGTCATTCGAAACGGTTCTGGGGTAATAGCCCCTGTGCGTGCGAGTTCAATAAGAAGCACAACGTACTCGCTGAGGGTTGGCACGGTACACATCTTTAGCGCCCGGCCAAACGACGATGGCTCACTCACCTGCGGGCCGTTGCCGTCGTCGTGGGTCTCGTGGGTGAGGTAGCCAAGCAGGTCTAGTGATTGCAGCAGGACGGCCGCACAGGTCTCCTCCACCGTTGCGTAAACGAGATGTCGAGAGGAAACCGCCAAATGTGCAAACTCCATCACATCCACCAGAAAAAGGTTTTCGGAAATGGCGACACCCGTTAAATTCCAAGAGTCCAGCCCAATTCCCGGAGGGTTGTTGACCTTACTCACACGGGTGAGGTAAGCGTTGTAGCGACGAAACCATGTCATGCCAAAGTCAGTCATCCGCAGCGAGTTGGCCAGTTGATGGAGTGTTTGCACGCGAAGTGGCAAAACCGTCTCAGCCACGTCACGGTACTTCACAGAATCCACAAGTGGCCAGTCATCCACTAAACTCCCCTGACATAATGCAGCAAAAAGGCTGGGCGACAAAAGGCCAGCTGTAAACATGTAGTATATGACTGGTGGAAGAGGGCGCCCCATGACCGACTTAAGATCAAGCGTTATTTGTCGACGCGATTCATATAGGCAAGTTAACAAGCTGCAGTACGGAGGAACCAGGGTTAGTACTGGGCACTCCAAAGCAGCAAGGTTGCGAAGTGTGGCACTCTTAGCATTTGCGGCGCGATTGCGAGCTTGCTCAGAAATAGGCGGCAGTTCTTGACACAGCTGCTGGGCGTAAGAGGCACCGAGAGAGAAATCATTGATGCGTGTAATTTTTTTGCACATGTCTTCAAGGTTTGAAAACTTCGGCGCAACAGTCCTCATTATCCGGTTTCGGCTGTCAATCACAATTAGACTTCCCAAATCTTCCTCGCTTATCCGCAACAAATCTAAGAGCCGAGACTTACGCACCATGTCGAAAGTACCCTTCATCACATTTATGTTCGTGATGACCCGGTCAATCCCTGGGAAGGCAAGAAGCTCCAGGCAACCGTACACCTCCGACACATGGCGGTTCTTGGGGTGGCAGAAGGCGGACAGTTGCGCCCAGGCGAGGTACGGCGCTCGCATGGTGTTCTTAAACTCGGATCGGAAGAGCTTGACAATTTGATTCTCCACATCCTCCTCTACAAAAAAGCGCGTCGCCGACTTTTTCTGCATGTCCAACGCCCGCGACGGGTTCATGTTACACAACCTGGAGCTTTCTGTACCGTTAAGCAAGGCTATGTCGGGAGTCATCGTACTTTTCTCACGGCAATTTTCATCCAACGGATCCGGAAAAAACGGAATGCCGTTAAACACCAACACGGGATTGCAGTTTTTGATGGAACTGAGCGTCTTGCAGATATCTGTGATTTTGTCGTAGACTGTAAACGGGGTAGTGTAGGTGTAGACGGCCATCTTTTCCTTCTCCCGCACGGCTTGAGTAATGAGGTCAATGACCTTCGTGCCATCCACGCCCAGCATCACCTGATCCGTGCCCTCTAGTCGCCGCAGCTCAGTTATCGGAACACCCTTCTCCTCCAGCTTGTTGTCATTGATGTAACGCTGCAAAAGGCTTACATCATCCTGGCGTGGGTACATCTTGCTTCCTGGGAGCGCCTCGATCCCTCTAAGAGCCAAACAAAGACTCAATACCAGAAGGGTTTAGAAATAAAAAAAAAGAAACAAAAAAACAATAATAATAATAATATAGCTTCGGTGAGAACTTTTCTCGGGCCAATACGCGGGGATTGGGGGGGGGACAACGAAACAAGAAAGGGAGAACTATGGAGACGCAGACACGCACGCAGAGAAGCGGATAAAGCACGGTGCCATAGACACCACAAACAAAGCTGACAAATAATAACAAGGCACACAGGAACGACAAGGATGGTAAATAAAGCTAATAACACCGAACACTAAGAAAAACGAAACAACAGCAAAAAAAAAAAAACCACAACAACAACAAAGAGGTGGGCAGCGTCAATTCACAATGGAAGACCATATATACCTCTGTTTTTCCTTTCCTCACGGGCCAACAGACTCCCCTTGCGCAACGAGCAAAAGCATCTCCTTATAGAATGGCTGGTAGACTTCCCAATTGAAGACAAGCACACGCTGCAGCAGGGCCGCCAGGCGACGCAGCGAATCCGTTACGAGACCCAATGGAGGTGGGTCACTTTGGCCGCGCGCCAAAACGGCCTCAATGAAGGAGAGAATTCGCTTCTCAAAAACCACGTAAAGGCTTCCAGTCGTGTTTGTCATCTTTTCAACAGTTCCGTGCAGTTGGGTGATTTCGTTTTCACTCAATGCAGGGAGTGTCTTCCTCTGCGCCAGCGCCTCGTCGACCAAACCTGTCACGGAGGTCTTCAAGTGGGGCAAGGTGAGCTCGTCAGCAAAGAGCAGCCGAAATTTGTCGTGTAGTTGCTTCAAAATATCGTTTACGACCCTTGAGTCAACCCCCTTACCACGAAGCACCGTTGCGACACTGCCTGATAAAAGCAGCAGCAAACTGTTCTCCTGCACCGTGTTGGCGGCAAAAAAGACAATCTTCTTTTCAAAATAAAAACATTCGGTTGGGTAGTCATGCCACCGATCATTCACTTGAAGGCCACTGCTCCGCAGTAGGTCCAAGAAGCCATAGAGCAGGCTCCCTCGAAGCTGCCGCTCCGCCAATGTTAAGGCAGTCGCCGAAACGGCGACGGGTGAATTCGCCCAAGTCGTTACACGTTCATCATTGAAGTAACGCCGGACAAAAACCAGTGAACTCTCCCACTGATCCACTTTTGGCAAACATTCGGAAATAAATTCCCTTATATACGGTACGGCATTCTCTCGCAACTGTTGGGATATAACCAACAATGAATATTGCGCAATATCATCATGTAACTGGCGTATAGAAGAAAACATGAGGCGGAACGCATTGGCCACTGCCGTACCGAGGTCTGGGGTGCACGCCTCAAGGTCTTTGCTCATATCCTCCGCAAGTTTAAGAGTCTCCTCCGCCCTGGCTGGGGCACCGTACTCCGCGACCTTCCTCATCACGTAGCGCATAAGCGTCGCAATATTTCCTGGGCTTCCCATCACGGAACGCCGCACGATCCTCCAATCCAGCACATCTCGCACCTCCTGCTCTGCCTGGGAGCGGAGACGTCGCGGAAGAGCATTTAAAAGTCCGTCAATAATAAGTTTCAAAAACCGCGGAACGTTTTGAAGATCAGGAGGATGACAGTTGCACTGTTCCGCAAGCAGGGCCAACTGCGCCTCGTTCATGGAGGAAATCAGTTGCTCTTTTACTGAATCACTCTTCGTCTCGGGCACAGTAATGCATGTTTCGTATGCCTTTATGGCACGAAATTCCAACTTAACATACTTCTCGCGACGTCTGCGGACGGACTCGGGCAACAGCGGCCGAGAACGGCCGTGCTCGTCCACGTACCAATCTGGCGGTAGCTCCGGCCCCATCATAACAGGCGGGGGTGCCTCTGCCTCAGATCCGCTCGTGTTCGCGTCAGAGAGCAAGGTTGCCGCTGTGAGTGGCACTTTGCCAGACGCGGCGTTGCCAGTCGTTTGCCCCTCCTCCTTCGACTTCTCATCCGCGTTGCTTTTATGTCGCCGCCCTTCCTGAGGCTCCTCGCGTTCTTGTTTTTCTTCCAATATGGAGGCCTCCATCCTGCTCATGTCGTCCCGCGAAGTCAGACGTGACAAGCGATCATGTAGCACACCCAGAAAGGTCTGAAGCTCTTCGTTGGAAGGGGCCTTTTGCAGCTCGCGCGTCGCCGCCAAATAGGCCTCCTTCGTTCCATTCACGATCACCTCCTGGCACGCGCGGCGGTCAGCGCCCCTAAGCGAGGAGAGATCTTGTGCAAATTTTTTGCTGTACTCCTGCCACATAAGTGACGTGGAAGAGAGAAGGGCGGTGGCATAATGCTCATCAACACTCGACTGCGCCCCAATCGCCTTTAACTGCTCTAATAGCTCCACCAACTGCTGGGCGCACTCAGAGATAAGCGGGTCTACCTCGTTGCTCGGCAGCACCGCGTAGTAGTAAGCAAGAAGAAGTGCTTGTGGATTCATGGGGACACGTCGCAGACTACGAAGTCGTGACCGTCCATTCATGCTCGCCGACAATTTTGGCGGCCGCACGACAACTTGCCCCGTTTTGGAACCAATGAGTCGCAGGACGTCCTGCGCCACCCACACCAGTCGTCGCCGGTGGGGGTTGCCTGTCTCGGGGCACGTGCGAAATTCGGTCAAGCCGCACTTCCTGCAGCGCCATTGATCCGTGATGAGGACATGCTCCACCGCGTCCGCGGTCATCGGGGCCGTGGGGTCGTACTGCAGACCAGCATCCTCGAGCTGCTTCAGCGCGGCGGAGATTCGCCGAACACACGCCGCCGTCGTATCGGCAATCTCATGAGTGGCATTTGCTGCCTCGGACATTTGTGAACACACGAGAAGGACAGCAGGACAGAGATGCGTGCAAACTACCGGGCCAGCAAAAATATAAAGCCAATAGAAAAAAAAACCAACGACAACAACAAAAAACGACGGGGAGGGAAGAACTTGCAAAGAATCCGAACAACTGGTAGAAAAGAACCTTAAGAAAGAAAAAGATAAAAAAAAAGAGGATGAGAAAACAAACAAGGAAAGAAAAGATGAAATGTTCTTTGCCATGGAGCAGGCAAAAAAGGCCCGCTGCAACAGGTTACCTCATACCTTCTTTGCTCACGTGTACACGCTTAAATGACCACAGGCATGTATCTTTGCAAAAGTGCGTACGTATGCGTACAGGAAGAGGGGGAGGGGGGGGGGGGGAAAAAAACACTCCTCCAACGACCTCTATTTGTGTGTTTATTTTT